TGTTGTTTTTGTGAGAAAAGTTTTAAAAAGTTGTTTTTAAAAACATTTTTTTAACAATAAAACTTTTTTTTTGAAGGAGGTGAAAGTTGAGGCTGCGGTCTGAGTTCGGGTCGCAGGTGGATCGAACTGGGTCACTGGTGAGGACCGGTTCTGACCCAGTTAAACTGCTGGGTTCTGACTGGTTCGGTTCGGTTAGAAAAAAAAAGTGAGTGAAGGTGGGATGACGTCACACTTCCCACAATCCTCCCCGCCCCGCAGCTCAGACCCTCTCAGGCCTCGAGTCTCAGCAGAAACTACAGAACCAGAACCGAACCTGCGGATCGAACGGAACCAGACGGGAGTCGCTGCAGACGGGAGCTTTATTGGACTCTCCCGGTCCGGTTCGGGCTCGGTTCCGGGTCTCTGCTTGTCCTCGGGTTTGGACCGGGACTCAATGCGGAGCTGGAAACTTTTTGGTGAGTTTTTTTTTTTTTTTCCTGTAATGTGGCTCCGGGCGCGTGCATGTGTGCGGGTTCGGTCCGAACTCGTGCGGGTAAAGTTCCGAACCCAGTTTCTGTTCGGATTCTTTCTGCAGTTTTTAAATGTTTCTGCTGAATTTAATGTTTTTACTTTAATAAACAAAGTTTCTGCTCCATGAACGTGTTCCAGAAGCGGTTCCGCTCGTGCACTTTGTTGTTGTTGTTGTTGTTGTTGTTGTTGTTGTTGTTGTTGTTGTTTTGATGTTTGTTCTGTAATTTTCGGAGGTTTTTAGCCCCCCTCCTCCTCCTCCTCCTGTTGTTTCATCCAGAGGAGAAACTTCTTTTACTCCTTCAGTTAAAGTTTGTTTTTTGTTTATTTGTTTGTTTCTGAAGCAGTAAAATCTGAATCTGTTTGTTTTTCTGCCGCTGGTTTGTTGTTTTGACCTGTAAACAAAGTAAACAACAACAAAGATCCGACTTAGAAAAAAAGAAAAGAGGAAGAGGTTGTTGAGTTCATCCTGAGGAGCCGAGAAATCATCCAAAATATCCTGAAGCTGCTGCTCTGTAGTTTACCTGTAGTTTATTTCTGTTTCCCTGTAGTTTGTTGTGTTTTCCTGTAGTTTGTTTTTGTTTTCCTGTAGTTTGTTGTGTTTTCCTGTAGTTTGTTTTTGTTTTCCTGTAGTTTGTTGTGTTTGCCTGTAGTTTGTTGTGTTTGCCTGTAGTTTGTTGTGTTTTCCTGTAGTTTGTTTTTGTTTTCCTGTAGTTTGTTGNATACAGTATCGGGAAATGAAATATCGCAATATTTCAGTGTATCAATATTTTCTTGCAACCCTATTATACACTTGTGTGCGTCTTGACTTCTTAACAGCAGCTGTAAAGCATGATGATGCTGAAAACTGGATCGGCCCGATCACATGACTAAATCCGATTCTACCCAATTTTCAAAAAATGGCCACGTCTGCCACTGATACTGATACTGAGTATCTGATCGGGACATCGCTAGTTTGGATTGGCCGATTTGCCACAGATGACCCCGCCCACCTTCAAATTAAACCAATAGAACACTAACAGGTTTGCTTCAGCCCCAACAGTTGTATTAGTGGTTAGCTTCCAATATTTTTTGGTCTGTTTAGCGTTAGCAGAGCTAACATACTTGTTTAGCAGATTAATGGTTAGTGAAGGTAACTCTGATTAGCCATAACCACCACTGATCAGGATTATTCCTGAGAATTAAAGATATTTTATTTTTGCTTCATTACTGTGTAAAAAAACTAAAATATTTCCACAGCTTCTGCCCGTCGACGAGCTGCTGCTGTTCCTCATGTTCCTGTCGTTGGGTCTGCCTCCCAGAGATCTGGCGGAGAGGTTTGGCGTTCCCGGCGCCGCGGCCCGCAGGATCATCGAAACCTGGGCCCATTTTCTCTACACGGTCCTTGGAAGCAACCGTCTCTGGGTTCCACCCGAAGTGGTCCGAGCTCACCTCCCCGCTGAGTTTTCTGCTTTCCCCGACACACAGGCGGTGCTAAGCTATGTTAGCGTGTCCTGCCGGGCACCTCTCCCCGACACGGCGGAGCTCCCCGACGCGTCGAGGCTCAAGGCTCTGGTGGGCGTGGCCCCTCACGGCGCCGTCACCTTTGTGTCGCAGCTCTACGCGGCGTCCACCAGCGACCGTTGGATATTTAAACACTGCGGCGTCGCGCGGCTGCTCGGGCCGGACGTGGCCATCATGGCGGACGAAGGCTTCCTCGCCGACGCTCCGTGTAAAGTTTACCGACCTGCCATGTCCTCTAAAGCCTACGTGGAGCGGAGCCTCAGGTGGGTGAGGGAGAACAGACTCTTCTCCGGAGACGCACCACTTCCTGTCTGCCTGAGCGTCCACGAGCTCTTCAGCGTGGCGTGTTTTCTGCTCAACTACCAGCGCGGGCTGCTGGGAACGTCCTGACAGCTAAAAGCTAAATATTTAGTCTTTTTTTTGTCGTTGAGTCATTTTGCTGCTAACTTTTCAAACAAGTGGTTTTTTTTTCTGAACAGTTTTAAAGTTTGGAAAGTATTTTTCTACTTGGTTTTGTATCAAAGTCTTTGTTTACTGACATATTTATATTTTTGAATAAAAAAAAGTCTTAACTATTGTGTCTGAACCAGGGTTATTATAGTTAATTAAAACAAAACTAGAAGCAATCTTTTTTTACAATATCTTTCCAAAAATACATTCATTACATTCATACATTCATAACACATGTGTAACAATCGGTGCAGCTTCATCGTCATGATGGAAGCAGAACTTCAGGTCATCTGGATCTTTTCAGGGTTAGAAAATATCGCAATGTCAGTTTTTTCAAATATCGTGCAGCTCTAGTAGCCAAGAGTCCCATCCAGTTATCTTAAGAAATATATTTGTTTTCTGTTGTTTCAGGTCCATCACAGGTTTTCAATATTAAACCAGTGGAAAAATTAGAGCAATGTTTTGAGACTAAAATGTCCAAAACTTCCTTTATTTCATTGCAGATCTGAACAAATATGTTGTCGATCTCTTAGTTGTTTCAAGCTCTGTTTAACAACAATTCATGGATTTTTATTTTTGTGTCACATATGTTGAGCTAAAGTTTGCTGTGGTAGCTGAGAGTCATGACTTGTATTATTAGTTATGACTTAGTGTAAAAAAAAAAGTTTGTTTCTTAAAATGATTTGTGTTTTTCTGTCTCTGAATGCTTTTGTTTTGTTTTGTTGTGGGTAGGCTGTACTTACATTGGTGTAAGGGGGTGTGTGGTGGCGGTACACGATCCAGGGAGGGACCACCAGGGTTCGGTTCAGCATCTTGGCAAAGGCCAGAGATCCCAGGAAGTGGTCTGCCTGGTTCCCAAAGCGACCTGAACGACAAGATCCAAAACTTAACACGATATTCCTCCATGTCCACCTCATATTTATCAACTTTTTTTAAATTTATTGCTTTTAATTCTGTTTTGTTTGACACTGTTTCTGGTTTCGAGCTTCAAAGTTATGAATGAGCGAAGTTGCTGTTTAGCTTTCAGAGACATTTGATCCGAAATAAGGAGCTGTAAATGAATGATTACCCATGCAGGGGCAGTACAACACGTATCCGTTTTCATCCCACTTCAGTTCTTCGCAAGAAACCCAACAAACGTGAAGCAGGAGGAAAGAAAGTAAACATTTTAGTTTGAGGAAGTAGGACGCCATGACTCCGCCTCTTCTTCTTCTACGGTTTTATTGTGTTCACACGAGGCGTAGCACTGCCCCCCGCTGGTGACGAGTGGAACTACAACTAGAAACTGATTTACATCACACTTTGTGATAAAAGGTACGTTTACTTTACGTTTGATCCTTCAGAAAAGTGATTTCTGTCCAGTTTTTATACACTTTAATTAATAAATGTGAACATTTATGTAAATTCCTTCAAGTTTTCAATAGGGCAGGTAAGTTTCCTTTCATACATTTCACTTTTCCTGTAAAAGTTTCATCTCCCACTTTCCACACTGAATTCTGAAAAAAAAAAATACAATTGTTTTTCTTCTGTTCCTGTAGTTTTTGCTGTGTTTTATGAGACAAATATGATTTATTTTGTACCTTTCCCCACAACCCGGGACTGCTAATTAGGGTTAAAACGTGTTTACAGATTAGCTAAAAGCTAGCTGTAGCAGCAATTGTTCCTAAGGTTAGCAGCTAACTAGCCTAACTTAAAAAGTACATATAAGGATTAGCATATGCTCTCCAAAGTTTACTAGCCTGGTTTGAAAGTTTATCCCAATAGGTAGCTGCAAAGTGCTGTACATTTTGAGTTGTTCCAAAAGCTAGCAGCTAACTAGCCTAGCTTAAAACGTGCGCAATTAGCAATTGCTAATCTAAAAAAAAAATAGTAAACTAACCCAGTTTAAACGGTTCTTTCAACAGCTAGCTGAAAAGTAGTCTACCTTAAAGTGTGCCTCCTGCACTTTATAATTTATTTTTCAAAAGATAGCTGCTAAGTAGCATATCTTAAAATGTGCACTACAAGCTACAAAAGCTAACTAGCGTAGCATATTAAAGTAAGTCCACTCTGTTTTATCATTTACAGAAGAATTTGAAATGTAGATTGCTATTTAGAATTGGCAATTTAACTTCAGTTTCTAAAAATGTATATTAAACTTTTGAATTTCATAAAACAAAAAGTTATTTTAAAAATAGGTTTAGTGAACCATATGCTAACTGTAAAGGCTATGATGCTAAGGTAAATTCTGTTAGCTTGCGCCCTGAGTTGGGTGAATTTTTAAATATTACTTTAAGTAGACAGCCTTTTCTTTGGTATAATTATTTAAAATTTAAAGGTTTGTGTTTTTTATATGGATTTCAAACTTTGTGTACTTTGAACACTCACTTTAACACTTTTAGCAACATTTTGCTACTTATAGTTTCTGTTTTTGCTAATTTTAGCTAACTTTAACTAATTTTAACTAACACGCACTACCCTGTCACTCTATGTATTTACAGTTGTTTCTTTTCTATTGTACAGCGTCCTTGTGTGTCCTGAAAGGCGTTTTATAAATAAAATGCCTTATTGTGGCATTTTCACACAACTCTCACACAACAGATCCTTTTTTTTTTTCCGTACATTTTCCGGCTRCTTTCTCGTTCCACAATTTTTGTGCTACTTCAACCATTCATATATTAAAACATTCAGCTCTTTCATGCAGTGTCTGCTATGACTTTTGGTATTTCAGCTGTTTATAGCTTTTTAGCTATTTCAACTTTTTTAGCCACTTTTTTCCCATTGACTTTGAATGGGGCTATTTTCAACAACCTTCAAATCCTTCAAATACAGTAGTTTCTAAATCTTTACAAAACCTTACACAATTTATTCTGGTTGTGCTCTATTTTTACTCCCTTGTGCAATTTTTAGAAACGTTTTTACTAACTTTGGCTGTTTTCTGCTATTTCAGCTACAGTTCTGCTTCGTTTTGCTATTCTTCTGCTTTATTTGTGCTTTTTTCTGCTAATTTGAACTATTTG